CCGGCCAGTTCCACCCGCTGGCCCCACTGGTGCTGTAGTATTGCAAGAGGGGAAGCAAAGGGTCCCCCCCACTTTCTCCACCCCATGCATGAGTTCCAACCTCTTCCTCACGTCTTCCGTTACTCCCCTTTTCTACGCAAAACTATCCCAGCTGTTGCAGCTGCTCCTCGCGAAGCCTTGCTCCAGCCCCCGGATCATTTTAGTTGCCATTCTCTGCACCCTTTCCAACTCAGTAACGTCCTTTCCCAGGTGTGCGATACTCCACGTGCAGCTGCCCCAGAGACTTGCATAAGAGGAATAAGAGCTCGGCAGCTCTATTTTCTAGTCTGTTCCCAATTATGCCTAGCACGGAGTTTCCTTTTCTTGCAGCCACTGCGCTCCGGATGGACATTTGCACTGGGCAGTTCACCACAACCCCGAGATCTCTTTCTTGGTCGGTTATGGCTAGCTCAGATCCCATCAGCTTATATCTGAATGTCGATTTTTCTCCCACGACATGCATCGCCTTACACTCACTTATACAGACTTGCACTGCCATTTTCATGCCCATTTTCCCAGCTGAAGAATTCTCCCTTCACAATCCCCCTTTTTGACCCTCTTAAATAATTTGGTGTCGTCAGCAAATGTGGCCACGTACTTCACGGCTTGCTCCTAATCCCAGATCATCTATGCAACAGCCGAAAAGCGGCACTGGTCCCAGTACAGGCCCTGCCCCACTGCTTGTGTTGCTGAACTGGGAGAAGCTGCCATTTAGCCCTGCTCTCTCTGACTGTTCCTTAGCCAGCGACTAAGAGGACCCCTCCCCTAAGTCCATAATTGCAAAGTTTGCTCAGGAGCCTTTGGTGACGGACTTCAGCAAAAGCCCAGGCACCACTCCTGCCCAGTGACTATTATTTAAACATTCCCAAATACATTGCTAGAATGTAAGAATTCGGGATGTCATAAGCCCCAGGCCTTCTGAAATCACTATTAAAAAAAAACCTAGGCCAGCAGTGCCTCCAGGCCAGGCATGACGGGAGCCTCTTGCAAGGGGGCCTGGCAGGAGGGCTGAAAGCAACATTTCGTGTGACTCGCAACTGCCCACACGCAAGTCCCTCTGGAGGACGTAGTGCCGCATGGGGCACATCCCCATCTTCCACCCCTCATGTCACCAGTTCAAGACCCACAGTAGGCTCAGAGCAGCAGCTACACAAGACCCGAACTCTCAGAATAGGGGGGAGTGAGCTCAGAGGAAGCCTCCAGAGCCCTCTAACCACACGACCTCCAGGTCCATCGGAGACAGACCCCTTGCACAGAAAAAACTGACCAGAGGAGCTTGAGCTTGGATTCCAAGGCCCGGCGACTGGGGAGAGGAAGCATAGATGGGGCCCAGGCGTGTGCCAGCACAGGGAGCAGGCTGCCTGCGGAAGGCCGCCTGAGAGGTGGGTCCTGGAGGGCAGAAAAAGGACAACAGAGTTGGACACTTGGGATGTGCCTTCTACTGGCCCGCTCAGCTCAGTCTCGTCCCCAGCCGAGCAGCAGCGGCGGGCCATCAGAGCTCTCCCCGCCGACCGGGGTGGCGAAGCGCTGCTGCTGAGCCGAAGCCTTCCCCTGCTGCGGGGCATTTGGTTGCCCTGCCTCAGGCACCAAAGGTCTTGGCTGCCTCTGACTGTGCAGAGAGAAGACAAGGCAGGAGCACAGGCAGAAAGGAAAGGGTCACAAGTGAGCCGTGGAGGCAAGGGCCACCACCGGCGCAGCTGTGTGCGTGGACTTGACGGCTGGCCCCGCAGGTGGGCCCTCGAAGCGTCTTTCCGAGGGGGAACCAGCATGCCGAGGCAGCGGGGGACACGTGGGCAGCCCTGACATCACGTGCGCCTCCTCGCCCGGCCGCTGCGCGGTGCATCACTCACCCCTGCCCACGCCCCTCCAGGGCTGTGAGATCCCAGGCCCAGGGCGAACGTGCCACCGGGCAGCCACAGGGGCGCTCTGACTCACGCTGCGACTCACGCGCGGAAAGCGCACTGCGCTGGAAGAAGGGCAAGGGAGGCGGGAGAGGGCTGCCTCCGTCACGGCCTTCCCCGGAGGTCCCGCAAGGCCTGAGCACCTGGCCACATGCACGAGGCTTGAGCACTTGGCCACATGAGATACGTGCGGCCCAAAGGGCAATGCAGGTCCCCAAAACTGGCAGGCACAATGCAGCACGGGACAGCCCCGAGAAAAGGGCTCCTTCCTCTGACTCCCCCGCGGAGGTGGAGGGCGTGATTCAGACATTCCTGCTCGCAACGGCTTCTTTCGGCTTCTTTCCTTCGGCCGCACAACCGCAACATGCAGAAACCAGAATGTGAGTCATTAACTGACAGGAAGGCCAGAGCGAGGGCTTACAAGACGGAAAGGCCGACAGAGGCTCCTCCTTGTGAAGCAGGACCACACAACACCACAGCGCGGCAGCCGGGCAGCCTGACCCGGCCTTTCCCTGAGGTGCCTTCCTTCCCTGCCACCGTCCTCATTTCAAACACATGCTCCGCACAGCCAAGCCAAACGCAGAGTAAGAGCATGAGGCAAGATTCTCGGTCTAACAGAAGGAAACCGTACTTCGAGCATGACGGGTTTTTATTTCCACGCTTACTCAGCATTCATTCACGAAGGCACACACCGGCCAGCCTGAAGCCTCACTGGGTTCCCAGACGAAACCACTCTTCTCCTCCCCTGCCCAACAGCTACTGTCCCACCACCAAAAGGACCATCCACCCTTTCTTCGCTCCCTCCCCGCCACACCGGGGGGTCTGCAGCCTATCCACGGAGCCACCCCCTGGTATTATCGTCAGCCATGTGACCGGTTCACCAAACAGCCAATCGGCCTTAGTTCTGGCCATGCAAGCATTTTTTCCAGAATCAAGAAAACGGGAGAGGGCTGGACTGACATGCAGCTTCAACTGAGGGAAGGCACGGGGATCGGGACAAGGCATCACTTTTTGACCTTCCACGAAGCGAAAGGGGCAAGGAGGACCCCCCTCTCCTCTTCCCCGGCAGCTAAAGACGTTTGAATGGAAAAAGATGTGTGCAAGTTCCAGCACTGCCCCCTGACTGAAGAGAAAAGCTTCTGGGCCAGGAAACATCCCGCAAATTTGCAAGGCAGCAATCACGGGGCCGGGGACTGCAGGTGGCGCAGTGGTTTAAACCGCTGTGCTGCTGGGCTGGTTGATCCAAAGGTTGCCGGTTCGAATCTGCACAACGGAGTGAGTTCCTGCTGCTCTGTCCCAGCTCCTGCCAGCCTTGCAGTTCGAAAGCATGCAAGTGCAGGTAGATAAAAAGTTGCCACTTCGGTGGGCAGATAACAGCATTCCGTGCACCTTGGTGTTTAGTCATGCCGGCCACATGACCACGGAGACTGTCTGCGGATAAACGAGGGCTCCCTCAGCTAGGAAATGGAGATGAGCACCGTCCCCTAGAGTCAGGACTTAACATCAAGGGGAAACCTTTACCTTAATCACGGGGCCATTAATACAATCAAGCGCTGCCACTTCAGTTAGCTTTGAAGGTCTGTTATCTCTGGCCAGGCCAGGCTTGGGAAACACGAGCTGGTGGAGGGGCAGGGCGGCCACTCATCTTGCAGAGACTCATCGCAGAAAACCAGTGACCGGCTTCCACCCACACGGGCCACTGCTTATCCACTGCTTATCGTTCCATGTTCTGCAATCATGTGCGTGATATACCTCCAGACCAGGCAGCCGCCGTGTCTCCACAGTGCACCCTTGTGGGCGAAATATTTCGGACGTCCTTTTATCGGCCTGGCAGCAGCTGAGGGACCCACAGCTGCCATGCAGTGGCAGAGGTCCTTATGGGGCCTGCAGGGCCCCCAAGTGATAACTAACTCCCACGCACAACCAATCCAGCCAACTGCACAGAACCCCCAGCCAGGGAACCGGACACTCAGCCTCGGGCTGCACGTCACCTCACATCGAGCAATGCCATTCAGGACTGGCCAGCACATTTGCTCTGGAAAGCTCTCCTGAGCACACTTCTGAATGGAGGTTTAGAACGGGATGCTCACAGCCACATTGCAATGCCCTGGACAACCCAAAAAGTGCCCAGAGAAGAGCCAGCGTGGGCAGTCCCGCGATACGTTCGCTCTTGCACGGAGAGTGGCTCTTTAACAGAAGCACGCCACCTGCAGAGGGAGACGCAGGAGGACGGCCGGCAGGGCAAACCCCCTGTGACTCACAGCTTGCACAAAGCACTCCATGTCCACGTGGAGCGCCGGTGCTTCCTGCTCCCACGTGCCCTGCCAAAAGGGACCCCCAGCAGCTGCCAAGACTCCGGCAGTGCGTGGCTCCACCACCGCGGGCCGCCACTTCTCGCTTGTGCCCCTGACCAGGGAAGAGGAGCAGAAGGCCTGGCCGTCTCCCGGGGGGGGGGGGGGGGCTCAGCTCCCCCCCTCGTCCTCCCACTCTTTGTCACTCCCACCAGCAGCAGCGGCGGGCGGCAGCCAGGCCTTTCACTTTAAAGGCTGCAGCACGCGCGCCAGAGCAGGTGGTGCGGGCGGGGAAGCTCAGGCCAGTGCCCCGCCAGCCTCTTGCGCGGGGCTTTCCCAGCTTTTGCGCGGGATCTTCCCCCTCCCCAAACGGCTGAGGCGCCTCTCCGGGTTCATGGCAGCAAGAGCCGCAGGCTCTGTCTCCACCGCTTGCACCTTCCGCTGCGCCTTCCCGTACAGGGCGAGCCCGTGAGGTGGAACTGGCCCTCCCGTGGAAAGAGGCCCGCAGCTCTTCAGATCCACCGTCTTCCAGCCCCACTGCGGGCTCCTGACCCGGAGGCGCTTCTGCCGCTACAGCTCCTAGCGGGAGGAACGCTACCCTCGGGGATCATGTGCGCAGCCTGGAGCTGCCGCCGGCCCGCCGGGGGCCCTGCGCTCGCCCCCAGAGTAAGCAGCGCGGGAAACGGCAGAAGGGCGGAGGAGCTCCCGCGGCGGCCTACGCAGCGCCCGGCCGCTCCGGAGGCTACCGGGCAAAGGACGGCGCACTCACCTCTCCGGCGCGCCCCGGCCGCGTCCTCGCCAGCGCCTCGCACTTCCGCATCTTGCAGGCCTGGTGCCCGGTGCTTCGGTTCAGGCAGTGGCGGCAGGCCCCGCAGTTCTCCCTCCGCAGGCACGGGGCGCAGCGCCCGCAGCGCCGGCGCTTTCTGCGGGGCGGGGAGCAGGCACGCGGCAGCGCCGCAGCCAAGCCCCCGCCGGCCCGGCCCAGCATCTCCGTGTGGCCTCGCGCTGGGCGAGGGGGCGACCCGAGCCGCCCACGAGCCTCCTCGCGAGCAAAGCCGGCGCCGCAGCCGCCGCCCCCGTGGGCGCCGCCCCGCTGCGCTCCTGCGAACGAAAACTTCAGGAAAGCGAGTTCGGGGCACGGAGCAGGCGCTGCGCGCTGCACGCCCGGGAGGCGGAGCGGGCCGCCCCCCC